CAGCTTTAGCGATTGTAACGTCATAAAACGCTTAGTTTTAGTGAAATTACAAGAACCACACACCATAGAAGTCTGATTGAAAAATGTGGAATGTGGGAAATCGATGCTTTCAGTGTCCTCGATACTTGGATCGCTCGATTGGTAAGTTCTGCTCGTTTGGGATTATGGAATCAGAACGTTTGATAAAACAAGTTTGGACAGAGTTTAGAACGCGTTCCAAGTGTGCCGAAAAAATAGTAGGCGCAGACAGAATTGAAAATGGCGGAGAAGGGAATAGATGGGAAAATTTTATACCGTTCGATTGAAGGCAGAATTGGAACAGATGGAACCTGGTCATAACTCTTCAATCGAATGCAAAATTTAGAAAATCTCTTTTACAATCTCTTTAAGTTAATTTGATTTGGTTGTTTACCGAAGCATTATCTAAGACCACTGAAAGTTTATTACGAATGCCAGAGACTGGAAAATCTGAACGATGTAAGAATTCTATCAGCACGACATTTAAACTACTTTTAACGTGACATTTTACTGAGATATTTAATCATTCAATATCAACAGTTGAGCTCAGTGTCACAAGGATTAAATCGTGTCTGATGCAGAATTTGATGTGGTGGGATATATGTTACATTTTAATGCTCTAACTTGGATTTTATGTTTATTGCAAGAGTCAAATTGAGAGTGATCATGAAAGGGAATATAAAGAGATTTTCTTAATTTTTTTTACGTGTGTCGGGGGCACTATTGGCATCAATTTGGACCATTCCATTCAAATTCCAACCTATGTGGTTCCTTCAATTCCACAAAAACTAATAGCGAATTTGTTTAAACATTGGATCTGCCGCTCGATTTAACGACAGAAAAATAAAATAATATCAAATTTGTTTGAACATTGGATTTAACCACAGAAAAAGAAAATATTAAGGTTAGTGTAAAATAGTGAAAGTTCCGCTTGTACTTGACGGAAACTTCCAAGAATTTCCGAATATGCGTGGTATCTTGGATATTTAGAATAAGACATGATGGATTGTTCTTACTGTTTCTAGAATTTAGAAAGACTTTAAGGATCTTCTATAGAAGAGTTTTATGTTCTAGTAAATTTAGCGGTGGGTGTAAAATTCTGAATTCTTCGAATCGCCCGAATTATCCGAATAGGGTCAGAAATTAAAAGTCAGAAACTATGGATCTTCTATAGAGGAGTTTTATGATCTAGTAAATTTAGCGGTGGGTGTAAAATTCCGAATTGTGTGAGAAAAGACCTAACAATCGAGTCAAAATTTCCGCCAAAGGCTGTGCATAAATGACAACGAAGAAATGTTATAAAACAAATTAGTTAGTGAAGATTTTAATAATGGTGTAAGAAATTAAAAATATTCATATAGCATCTAATGGCGATGAACGTTTCTCTGAATTCGACAGTCGAGTTTTCCCATGGGGTCATTAGTAACACCACTACGCAACGTTTTCTCTCGTTCCTCGACTGCTGTTTTCTACCCCTACTGATCATTTCCGGTTTCACGATGAACACCTTCAGTTTTTTCGTCCTACTTTTACAGAACTTTAAAAACCGCGCTCGAATAGTGTTGCTGGGACTGACTATTTCGGACAATTTGTTTCTGTTGTTCACTCTGTTGAGAAAAGTGTCCTGTATCGTTTCGAAATTTGATGAAATATCGGGCTCGAACTTCAAGACACTTGTAACACCACAAGTCTACGTCGTAGGAGTCACGTTTGCTCGAATAACCAGTATTTTAACTGTTCTTATCTCAACCGAGCGCCTTGCTGTCGTTTTGTGGCCATTGCAGACGCGAATGACCTTAACATTTCGGCGAATAAAAATCACAGTGATCATGATTTTCTTCGTAACTTTGGTTTGCTTCTTGCCACTTTATTTTTTGTACGAAACGAAATCTAATAAAGACGCTATCTTGAATCGAAGCATAATGTCGTTAAAAATGACCGGATTTTACCGGAAATACAAAACAGTAGTGGATTATTATACATCTATAGTGTTGAACGTTTTATTCCGATTTCTACCGTGCGTCATCGTTGCAGGTTCGACTGGAATGTTGGTGATATATCTCAGACGACATATAAAATGGCGGATTCGGGCGACCAATTTCAGCAAAGCTGACTTGATACTCGAGGAAAGGAGAGTGACTAAAACTTTAATAGTAATTTCTATCATGTACGTAGTGTGTCTTCTGCCGGGTACAGTGTTCACTCTTGTTCATCATATGTACTCGGACTTTACTTGGAACGGTAAATATCACAATCTGTTTTTAGTACTGAGTGGTGTTAACTCGCTTCTCGAGTGTTCCAATTCATCCTTTAATTTTGTGATTTACATGATAACCAATCGAACGTTCTACACCAAGTTCCAGTCCCTGAGAAAACGACGTGATTGTAGAGGGCGAGATTATGATGATTACGGTTCCAATGAAACATGTCTTTAAATAAATTTGTAACCACATTATCTCTTAAAAATCCACACGATCTGTGAATTCTATATACCCCTTTAGGTCGTGCTCGATTGGCGAATTGTGAACAGGTTCCGTATGTTCAAATTCTACCCTCAATCGAACGGAATGAAAGCGAATATGTCACATTCATATTCTCCGCCATTTTGAATTCTGTCTGCACCTACTAGTTTTTAGGCAGACGTGGAAATCGTCCTGATCTCTGTTTCAACTTGTTTTATTGAATGTTCAATTGATTCCATAAATCCCGAACCGAATGCATAGAACTACCAATCGAGCAGCCCCCTTGGATGGGCCAAATTCTAGTATCGTGGACTAAACCTTGAAATTGTGCTCTCGCGTAAATAGTTCTGAAAGTTATGAACTGGAGAATTCTATCTCTTTATTTTTCTCTACACCCCTCTCTCAGTCCCATCCTTTCCACCCTTCTGGTAAATACTGTCAAATATGACAGTTCCGACTTCATTTGTTTTATTTTTAATATAGCTGCTTCAGTTAGCACCTTTTGAAAATTCGTCAATATAACCCTTTGACCTAACCTATGGTGATCTCTGCTTTAACCAATCGAATTTCTGCCCTCTCTAGAGCTGGGATTTCGTGAGAGAGTGAAGGAATTCTATTGGTTAAAGCTAATAAAAAACGGAACTAAAGTTTGATTTAAAGTGATACTACGTCTTAGAATGAACATGAAATTTAAGAATTTTAAACTTGGCAAATAAGAGCACATATTCATCAGTAGATATACCGGGTGTCATAAATAACATAACAGGATCATTATATGATACGATAAATCCAAAAAACTTGGTAATTATCCACAAATATGCAATTAACTATTGAAAAACGCTTAATATCAAGATTAACTTTATGACACCAGGTAAATTCACTGATGAATATATAGGCTACTCATATTGGCAATTCTTGAGAACTTCAATTGTTCATTCTGAGACGTAGTATCACTTTAATTTTAATTAAACTCGGCACGTGATCAAATTGTTGATCGAGAGACCTAAAAACCTATTTACTTGGACTATAATTTGGTCGACATAAAAGTCAATTAAGAGAATATGAGCACAGAGTCAATAAGTTACTTACTAATCAATTTATAGATTATTAATAAAACAATTTCCAAGTTTAAAGTCAATTATATCAACTATTCATCTATTTAGACAATTTGCCATTTTATTAGGGTGGGTTTTAAATCCCAACCAACCAACCGCTAATACAAAAATTGCGCTAAAATTGGTATTGTTTATTTTAAGGATCGCAGATTTCTTACCACGAAACAAAATATTTTTCAATTTGGCGAAACAATACTTATTTAACGTAATTTTTATTACGTTTGGGTGGTAGGGCGGTTGGGATTTAAAAGCCACCCATTTTATCACTGCAAGTAAAACAACGAAGAGTATTGCAAGTCTAAGTATTTTTTACAACCATAATTACTTGAAAATGGACCAATATTCTCTTAACATTTTCTGGAAATGTTTAAAGATAGGTTCCCTTATTTTCATTTATGAAAATGAAAATTCTAATACTGATATGAATAGAAAGTGGGGGTGTTCTAATGACTTTGAAAAATACCAGTTTGCCCATAATCATTTCATAATTAGCTAAATTGGAAGAGAAATACCAGCAGAATTCCCAAGAAAGGTGAAAAAGCCTTTTTTTGTTTATCCAGGCTGTACATACATCGATATTTATGATTGGGTGGCGATAACACAGTACAAGTTCAATTCAAAATGCGGCAACTCTGTGGAGACGACATAGTTGCAAGCCATTCATAATGCTTCTGAGAGGGTTACCTCAAAAAAACTTGTGAAAAATTTAATTGATTTGGTTCATTCTAACACATAGGTTGGGTGTGCAAACACTCCCCCCCCCCTCCCACAATGTACCCCCACTGGTTCACACCACAATTCAAATCCTGGGAGCCACTATAGACTACCCCAATGGCATCCTTGATTACTGGTTCAGCACCAGGATCATAAGTGGGATCACGATCATCGTTGTCTTCATCAATGCCATCACAGCTTGCAGCAATTCAGCATCACTGGTGGCCATTTTGGTGGGATGCGTTGTCAGTCAGCAGCACGAAGACTGCCATCTTTTGTTCCCTACCTTTCTGGCATCGACAGATCTGTACATGCAAGAAATGAATTTCGAAACAAGTACACCTGAGCATGTGTGATTCGATCAATCGAGTTGCCAACAGATTTACCAAAAGTAAACTGAACACTGAAAATGGATGACATTTTAACTTCCTGTTCCCATGAAACCTTTAGACCTTTGAATAACAATACGACCCCTGTGAATTTGAAAATTTTAGCGGGCAAGTCTCGGAATGGGACTGTTGAACCAGTTAGCCTCGAAGAACAAACGCTGACTACAACAGTTTCAGAGAAAAGAAGCAATAAATCTTCCTCAAAAAAACACCCTGAAACAAATTTAGAAATTCAACACAATGCAACCCGGGACTCAAACAAGTCAAGCCTACCATCTGTGGTTAGTAGGTCCGATAGAACCATGGATTCACATCAATCAGGTGTCTGTGGTCGTAGACCTAATAGTAAAGAATATTCACCTCAAACTCGTTGCTTGCAATCAGATGTACACAGAAATCAGAGATGTAATGATGAACATTCAGCCTCAAGACCTGAAGACTGCCCTACTGATGTGATTCCCAGCAGATCAGGGTTTAGGCCTACTAGTATGAGATCAATAAGTGATGTGTTAACAGAGTCAGAGATTCAACAGAGAGTCCGACAGTTTGCTAAAAATATTGAGACAGAAAGCCCATTCAACTCTTACCAAAGGCACAGACAGCAGCCACTTGAATTCTATTGCAGGAGATTCAACAAACGTTTAAGAAAGGTAAACCAATGGCTTGTCATAAAGAAAAGAATCCAGAAGTCGAAATTAAGACAGGAGCAAAACTCCAGTAGCTCAGGTCCAGGTTCTCTAGCATCAACGTCTACCTTACCAGCTGATCCAGACGAGAGTTCCTGTCTTACATCTCCACGGGACACCAGAATCAATTCCCATGCTGGTCAGCCACCTCACTCAGTGTGGATCTCTTTAGACTCTGATGACAATGCTTATAGCTCAAACACTGATCACATATCCCATACCGGTACTCAGGAAGGTTCGGTTAACCGCCATCCAGTTACTATCCACATGGACTCTGATGACGATTCTATTAGCTCGAACACTGATAATATATCCCATACCGATACTCAAGAATGTTCTGTCAACCGCCATCCAGTTACTATCCACATGGACTCTGATGACGATACTTATAGCTCAAACACTGATCAAATATCCCATACTGGTACTCAAGAAGGCTCTGTCAACTGCCAACCAATATCCATCCACATCGATTCTGAGGATGAAGCTAATGGGAATGCACATGGAGAGCCAGATCATTCCGGAGTTCAAGACAAATTCCTGGTTATTCTGGATTCTGATGAAGAACTAAGCTCAAAGGAGATCCAAATCACCTCCAGGAATAATTCCAGCAAGGAACTGATCATCTACGTAGACTCAGATGATAATGATCTATCTGATACAATTGAGAAGAACAGGAAGTCCACACCTTCTTCAGATAGTGATGTTATAGAGGTTCCTCATATTTCTGACTCTGAAGATGAACCTAAAAGGATACAGGAAAAGGGGAAGCCACTTGTCCCTGATGTACAGATAGAGATTGAAAAAGGAACTGGTATCACTCAAAGATCAAGTAACAGAAAGGTCAGCAGATTACAAGAAGATACTGCCGGTAGTACCGGCCAGAGAGAGCCAAAACAAACAGTTCTAAAAATAACAGCAAAACCTAAAAAACTGAAGAAAAGAAAAAGTCATCTATTGAAGAGAAGCTGCAAGGCCAGTTCTTTAAAATTATCGAAGAATATAAAATGTTGATGCATAAGGTCTATGACAATCTATTTAAAATTAGATTACAATTTCGTTTTATTTTTTTTTGGTTGGTCTCCAGTTTAATTTCAATAGATTTATACCAAGGTCGGGTGCTGTGGATGTTCATTTCAATCAATCACAGTGGATCATGCATAATTTATGTCTAAATATTGACTATGAATTGTGAGATAGTGAAACCCAAAGTAGAGCATCATGACCAATGAGATAATGAGACTGCCAATACTCGGTTATTAAAGTGATTCTGATTGGCGGGAGAGTGGGGACAGAGGTATATTTTATGATGTCACTAAGTGCTAAGGGCCTAATGTGATTTAAGCATATTTTGCGATTAGTGACGTCATCAAAAACTTAGTTTTAGTGGAATTGCAGGAACCACAGATGTCTGATTTAAAATTGGAATGGTGCAAATTGATGCTATCAGTGTCCCTGATACACTTAAAAAATTGAGAAAACCTCTTTACAATCCCTTTAAAGCTTGATAAAAAGGAACCAGGAAGATGTAAGAATAATTTTATTATAAAATATAGGTCAATATAAAATGATGGATTTAATTTAGGAAATGATATGTATAATTATATAATATATATATGGAATATTGAAAATGAGGAAAATGAAAAATTAAACAATATACAACATTTACAATTTGATATTTATTTACTAACTCTTAGAATGGATATAAAATTTAAGGACTCAACTTAGTCAATAACTTAGTCAAACTGTCAATAAGTGTATATATTCTTCAGTTAGACTTACCAGGTACCATGACTAAAGAATAGAATCTCTATATAAGACGATATATCCATTAAACTAAATAATTATTGAAAAACACTTGGATGGATTATTACTTAGTTTTATTAGATTATAGAGAGATTCTGTTGTATAGTTATAACACCAGGTAAGTTCACTGATGAACAAAGACTCATTTTAACCAAATTTCAATTTTTGTCAACCTAAGAGGTAGTCTACCTTTAAATTAAATTAGATTAGTTTAGGAAAGGAAGGGATTGAAACTGTCAGGTAAAACTGACATCTATCATTCTAATAAGTTTAAAGTGTCTATAAGACTAATAGAATATAGTTAAAAATCCAATTATTTTTATACAATATCAAATGTTTTCAATTTCAAAAAGACATTCATTTTCCATTTTTGGAGAAAAATCTCAATAAATTTCTTCAATTATTTTTAAATTAAGCTGTATTTAAAATTAAAGAGATTGTAAAGAGGTTTGTAAATTTTTATATGTATTATGGACACTGATAGCATCAACTTACACCATTCAAATTTTCAATCAGACGTCTGTGGTTCCTGCAATTCCACTAAAACTAAGTTTTTGATGACGTCACTAAACGCAAAATATGCTTAAATCACATTAGGCCCTTCGCACTTAGTGACATCATAAAATATACCTGTGTCCCCAGTACACATAAAAAATTTAAAAACCTCTTAACAATCCCTTTAAGACTGAAATACTTAAAGTGAGATAGGACTACTTAAATAAATGCAAAGAAAGATATACTATACAATAGCCTTGATAAACCGAATATAAATATATAAAAAAACTCGAAAACAGTGAAAATAAGCATTGATATTAAGGGGGCATTCGTTTTGGATTTTCTCATAAGTCAAAATTTTTTTGCGCAAATTCGTGAAAAATATACACCAAAAACTAGAGAATTGCGTCCCTTAACCCTTTGAACCTTGAGTGTAAATGAAATATAACGTCATATATATCCTGAACTCCAAGTAATAGAAGTAAAAGGGTATGACGTTAACGTTGAATGACGACCGGTGTGAGTGGCGGGTAAACCAGCCGCTAGAGATGAAAGGGTTAACATATCTGAAAGTTCTTATCGCAAAAATCCAGCTCTAAATTTCTAAACACCAAAACTATTTTTTAAAATTTATGTGAACTTTAAGTATTATTTTGGATGTTTTTTATAATGAAAAGTTTGCCCCTGAAAATGTATCAATGAACTTATACATAATTTATGTTAAATACTTTATAGGCTACTTTATAATACAAATACTATAAATCAGAACTGTAGATTTCAGATATAATTTACCATTGTTTGGTACTATGTGATATAATTTTAAATGCCAAAATCAAACACTACGCAGTTTTAATCAAACATGTCTGGCTATTACAACCAGTTCAAGAATCCTGCTATATTTTATGTTTATTTGACTATCGGTGGGTAGGGGGAGTGTACAATGATGTATAATAATATATTATAATATTCAACTTAATAAAATACCATGATATACCGAAATGTATGTATATACAAATTAAAATCTTAAAAATCAGCAGTATTTCGCATTACAATATCTTATATAGGCCTACCAATCATTTCATTGCAGGCAGACTAAAGGGAGACAATTTTTTAAAGGTATAATACCTCTTAGGATAAAATTTTTAAACTTGGTTAAAATGAGTCTTTGTTCATCGGTAGACTTACCTGGTGTCATAACTATACAACAGAATCTCTCTATAATCTAATAAATCTATAAAACTAAGTAATAATTCATTAAACTAAGTAATTTTGAAACATGCTTAGAAGTGTTTTTCAATAATTATTTAGTTTAATAGATATATTATCGTGTTATATAGAGATTCTATTCTTTAGTCATGATACCTGGTAAGTCTAACTGATGAGTATATACTCTTATTGTTTGAGATTTTATGTCTATTCTAAGAGGTAGTGTTCCTTTAAAGAAACAAAGAAGAGTTTTTTCCCATCTAACAACCATAGGGCTGTAATTAGGGACAAAAATCATCAAAATGTACATATATTAAGAAGAAAATAATGGAAATAGCTCAAATCGCCCCTGATAATGTCACTTAAAACACCCTGTATAAATATAATATCTCTTAAAGATACTATAAAGAGGTTTTCTTAATTTTGTATGTGTATCGGGGACAATGATGGCATCAATTTGTACCATTCCAATTTTCAATCAGACGTCTAGCAATTCTACTAAAACTAAATGTTTTATGACGTCACCCCTGCAAAGGTCTTATGTGATGCAAGCAAGTTTTGCGTCATAAAACAATAAGTTTTAAACAATAAGTTTTAGTAGAATTGAAGGAACCACAGATGTCTGATTGAATATTGGAATGGTACAAATTGATGTTATCAGTGACCCTGATACACATACAAAATTTAGAAAACCTCTTTACAATCACAAGAACCTGATAAGTGCTCATATATAGTTTATAACTGATAGATATTCAAATTTCAGATACCCATTTCAGTGTAAATTGACAAAATTATTATGGTTGTACCTATATTATGATTATTCATAAGCACCATGAAATAATTCCGAAGCCATGACTTTCATTAGTCAAATGCAGCTTAAATGACATGGTTTCGCTATTTTCAGGGGTTGATTTGGGTGTTCAATATATGTAGATAGTCTTCAGAGTACTAGAATTGCATGGATTGAGCTTTGAACACTATTACTGATTAGCTTAGCTAAAAAAAAGTCCTGTCTCTGATACTGAAATATAATTGGCCAAATGAATGGCGAATCTGTCCCTTTAAGTTATAAGGGATCCAGCTTTGAAAAATATTTGAGTGTTTCTCCAAAAAAAGTACTTACAGTTATTAAGGTCTATGGCAATATAGAAAAATGAAAAGAGAACATGAGATGATGGAAAGCACTCAAGTTCAGTAAATCAAACAAAATAACAAATTATCAGTAAAAAAAAAAAAATTTGCATCCTTCTTTCTATGTTGAAACAGTAACTTCAGGGATGTTGATTTATATTTTCACTGCCAGACACTTTTAATGTCTATTCAGACGTGCCTAGTTTAGATAAAGCTTTCACTCATATTTTCAGTTTTAAAATTAAAATGTTGTGTATTATGCTCCTCATTATACGTCTGCCTAGGATTGTTGCCATAGTGATCATAATTCTCATAGTGTCTATTATTTGGTGTGTTTCCATAGCGATCATGTGGACTTCTGTCATTGCGATCAGGCTGCTTTAGATCTCGAGGACTGTCATAATGACCGTTTTTAGGTGTGTTTTGGTAGTAATCATTATGCCGTGGACTCCGAGGACCATTTTGTTGTTGTTTATTATAATTATTTTCATATCGTTGACCCGGGTTTTTCTGGTGTGCCCTGTATTCCGCGTTGCGAGGTTTCCGAACCGGGAGGTTATTATTTACTGCCTGCCTCTCCTGTAACATATTATTCACGAATTGTTTATGTTTCATCATTATTTTATCCTCGCTTTCCTCCTCGTGATGGAATCCCAGATTTTCACCGTGACTATAACCGTTGTCATGGGGATATCTATCACTATGGTAACTGTCTGTCTCGTTGCCATGGTAACCACTGTCTGTGGGCCCAGAGCTGGCTGCCGTTGAAAATGAGGATTGATTGGATTCCCGACCTTGACTTAAATCAACTTCTGGTTTGTTATACAAATCTCGTGATTTTGATTTAGAGGATTTGTCCACAATGTGCACTTCCGGATATAATTCTGATTTTACTGGCTGTCTTTCGTGTTGTCGGGACGGTCTTTGTGGCTGCCTTTCTCTCGCATGTCTATTTTCATGACGATTTGAATCAAAATTTCTATCGTCATAACGATTGTCAGATTGGGATTTTGGATGGATATAATTTGCTGAAGCCCCGTGTACACTAGAGTTCTGAGGAAGATAACTATAAGCCCCGTTTGGAGTAGACGGTCCGGCCATGGCACCCTGCGACACAGACGGTGCAATATCCTCCATCTCGATGCTGCTCTCAAATCCATGATTATCTTTTGGTGATTTATCTACAACGGGTCTAGTCTTCTTCTTTTTACGGAAGCTCTCGTAAAGTCGTCCAGCTTGTGCATAGCTGTAATTGTTGGTTGGTGCTGTTTCACCAATATCCTCCAGAGGGGTGATTTCATTTACAGTCCAGCCTGGTAGCCATGTTCTAATCTCATCTGAAAATATAAATACAGAAATTCCATAAAATAAGATCCATTTTAAATTCCAGAATTAGCTGTCCTGACGAGGATTGTGTATAAGAAACACTATTTGGCAGCATGAGATGATCTCTAGCCGTCCTGATGAGGATTGTGTATCAGAAACACTATTTGGCAGCATGAGATGATCTCTAGCCGACCTGATGAGGATTGTGTATAAGAAACACTATTTGGCAGCATGAGATGATCTCTAACCGTCCTGATGAGGATTGTGTATCAGAAACACTATTTGGCAGCATGAGATGATCTCTAATCAATTAATACAACTTGTCAATGACTAGACATAGCATAATAATATATCTGCTAGTCCGAAACTTTCTGACCCTATTGATAGACAGTTGTCGTCTGGTCAGAAAAAGTAGGCAGCTTGTACTTTCGTTTTGTTAATATCACGTGACCCTGTGACGCAGAATTTTTTGTTGACAGCTGAAAGACTGAATTTCTTAATGAAAAAAATGAATGACATGAATAGTGTTGGAGGATAATGATGCAACAATATATGGATTTTTTTTGTATTCATAGTTAATTAATACGTTTAAAAGGAGCGGAAAAACCCCATTTTTCACTGCCTACTTTTTCTGACCCTACACCAGCCGACAACTGTCAAAATAGCTATCACAGGGTGGAACAGGGTCAGCAGTTTCGGACTAATATCCTGCTTGAAATAAAATAAAGTATACCTCCAGTAACTGGGTTGTTGGGTGGTCTGATAGGTGCCCGATATAATTCAGGTCGAACAAATATCTCCTGAGGTTCAATATCTTCAAATGAGAAAGATATATCTCTTTTTGGAATCTATAAAATAATATTAATTTCTTTATTCATGACCCAGATATAGATCTTTTTCAACAAGTAACATAAATAACATCAAATTTTACATGCGAAGACTAAGAAACCAGATGTAAAACTGGTAGTCCTTGATCTTGATTAAAGATATACTACCTCTTAAAGGGACTGGTTCGCCATTTTGGGAGGGTTGATTTGGGTTTTGAATATATTTAAAAAGTTTTCAGAAATACTACAAATGTTAGAAAATTGCATAATTCCTTTAAAAATACTCAAATTTTGACGGTAACCTGTGAACGCTATCAGCTTGCTAAAAAATAACTGACTGAAGCATGATTGGTCAAAAAAATGTTGCATCTGTCCCTTTAAGATGACCAAAAATTTGAAATTTTAAACTTAGCCAAAATTAGTCTTTGTTTATCAGAAGATTTACCTGGTGTCATAACTATACAACAGAATCTCTCTATAATCTAATAAATCTATAAAACTAAGTAAAAATCCATTAAACTAAGTAATTTTCAAACATGCTTAGAAGAGTGTTTCAATAATTATTTAGTTTAATAGATATATCATCTTATATAGAGATTCTATTCTTTAGTCATGACACCTGGTAAGTCTAACTGATGAATATATACACTTATTGACCAAGTGTGAGACTTTAAATTTTTTATCCATTCTAAGAGGTAGTATACCTTTAAAAAAATGGAACTTTACAAGTGAGCCTTGGAGAATATTTTACATTATTTCCAAAGGCATTTATAGTTTTATTTAATTATTTTTACTCTTTCATCATTTTCAAATCTGGCTTCTTTTTCTCTATATTAATACCCAATCACAGTGAATTTATAGGAGTTGTATTTTCAGAAAATGCTAGCTTGAAATTTAAAGGGATAGATGCACCATTTCTTTGACCAATCAAACCTTAGTCTCAGAAACAAGAATTTTTTTAGCTAAGCCAATCAGTAATAGTGTTCAAAGCTCACAGGTGAAATTTGAGCCTTCAAATCCATGTGTGTCCAGAATTATCTGCGTTTGAATGTTAAAATGACGCCTTGTTTTTTCTTGAAACTCTGATATATATAGAAAAGACATATACAGCAATAGTGAGTAAAATTCCTAGTTTGAAGTATTTTTAACAGAATTTTCATACATTCTAGCACTTCTTATAGTAATATTTACATTCATGACCAAAATCAACCCCCCAATAATGCTGCACTGTACTTCTTAGAATGGACATAAAATTTTAAATCTCAAACTTGGTCAATAAGAGTATATTATATTCATCATTTAGACTTACCAGGTACCATGACTAAAGAATAGAATCTCTATATAAGACCATATATCCATTAAACTAAATAATTATTGAAACACTCTTCTAAGCATGTTTCAAAATTACTTAGTTTAATGGATTATTACTTAGTTTTATAGATTTATTGGATTAAAGAGAGACACCAGGTAAGTCCAATGAACAAAGACTTGAAAGGAAACTTTGCGTACTTACTAGAAAGGTTTTGGTGCCTTCTGGGCCTGGATATCGTACAATTAATTCTCCATATGTCCAGTTCGCGTAACGTAAATAACTTAGCATCTGATCAAAATGATCTGACAGGTTTAAACCATCTTTAAATATCAGAAAATGTAGGCGTTGAAGTAACGAACCAAATTTATACTGAAAAATAAATAATTGAATTGCTTTTTAGTATTAAACAAGACTTTAAGTGAGATCTGATCTTATCAGCTACGAATAATATTTTTTATCAATCAAGTTTTATAATAATATTACTAAGCCTGTAGGTGATACACATAGACAGTCTTATTAAAATTAGCCCAAACTTGCGTTCTGTTTTATATCAACTTTTATTTTTAATTTAGCCGCTTCAGTTGGGGTCTAAAGATGGCCATCTTGAACATTTGTCAGTTTGATGACCTCCAATCAAATTTCTGCCCTCTCAAACGTTGTGATTTAGTGACGTGAACAGTCTAACGCTTCTGGGAATACACCTTTTGTTGTGATTGCCATAATGCATTTTATAAACTAAATTTGCCGATTTTTGTATAACATGAAGATATTACCCTCAGCAGGAATGGTTCCTTATTAGCCATGGCTTGTTTAGCAGCATCCACCCCCATCTGTATTCTACCCAGAATCTTCGGGTGAGTTTGGTTGATTAGTAATATCCAATTTACTGAAATCAAATTTATAGTGTTAATGCAAAATTTACATTAAAGGGATTGTAAAGAGGTTTTCTGTAATTCTACTAAAACTAAGTGTTTGATGACATCACTAATTGCATAGAACCTAAAGCATATTTTGTGATTAGATACTTAGTTTTAGTAGAAACCACAGACGTCTGATCAAAAATTGGAATGGTACAAATTAAATAGTATGTGCTATCCTGATAAACATAAAAAATTTAGAAAACCTCTTTATAGTCCCTTTAATAGCACATGTTTTCCACTGATAAAGTTTGAAGATTTACGATTTGTGTTATGAAATTTTACCTTATTGGCCACTGACTTAACAATGTAAACGATTATAAAATAATAACAATTTGAAATCTGAGATAGAGAAAATATTTTAAAAGACACTTACTGTGATTTACCCATAATGCACAACCCTTTGTTCCTTTACCAATGCCTTTACCAGAATGGGTTGTTGGCTGTAGAACTAACGGTCGTCGTAGCAACTCATTTTTGAATATTTCTAGTTCTTCTTCTGTTTCCATACGATATATTCTAGAAAAAGTTAACATTCGTTTGACCAATCATAGTGAAATTCCTAGTTTAAGTGATTGATGACATCACTAATTGCTATATATGTTTGGATCACATACAGCCCTTCGTGATTAGTGACATCATCAAACACTTAGTTTTAATGGAATGGTGCTAATTGATGGCATCAGTGTTCCATAAAAATTTAGAAAAACCTTTTTACAATCCTTTTAAGTGTATCTTCATTAAAATGCAGTCTGAAATTCGAATATATACATATCCATCCTGAGGCTTTAAAGGGAAAGGTGTGCCATTTTGGGGGGTTGAATTTATGTAAATAGTCTTCAGAAGTACTAGAATTGTAAGAAAATCGCATAATTCCTTCAAAAATATCTCGAACTAGGAATTTTACTCTCTATTTCTATGTATATCTTTTCTATATATCTCAGAGTATCTTAAAATGAAGAGTCGTCATTTTAACTTTCAAATGCGGATAATTCAGGACACACATGGATTTGAAAGCTCAAATTTCGACGGTGAGCTGTGAACACTATTACTGATTGACTTAGCTAAAGAAATCTGTTTCTGAGACTAAAGTATGATTGGTCAAATAAAATGGTGCATCTGTCTCTTTAAGACTAAGCACTCTTTTTTTTGCAGTTGAAACAATTTGTTACCTTTTTCTAGGAATAACATTGGCCAGACCTGCAGCTGATTCCACACCATTGCCTGTTTTAGTTGGTCGTACCAGATCGAATAAGACAGCTGGATTGTGAAATACACTCTCCTCACTGGCCAAATAAATGGCTGCTGGGAAATCTTCCATTTCTAAAAAAATATGAAATATAACATAGTACAGAAGATATTATAATATCCTAGCCAGACTGGATTTTTCAGAGGGACAAGTAATACATCCCGAGGATAAATGGTGTATGGTATTAAGTTACAGTAACGGAATTGGTTGGTTGTCAGAATATTTTCAAAGGGATCATCCAATCCCCCCCCCCCCCCTCAATTGAAAAATTTAAATGACTTGAATGACTCGTTGAGATGCTTAAGTTGAGCCCCCCTTTTTTTTTGCCCCCCCTCCTACTGGGACCCTGGGCTAGCTACAGGCCTGTGTAACCATGGAAATAGTAATGGGGTCTTTTGATAAGGGATATCATCTAACACTTAGTTTTAGTGGAATTGCAGGAACCACAGACGTTTGATTGATAATTGGATTGGTGCAAATTGATGCTATCAATGACCCCGATAAGCATAACAAACTTTATAAAACCTCTTGATAATCCCTTTTAAGATGAAAAATTTTCAGCTAGAAGAATAAGACTAGAACTGTTCTAATAACAGTACTGATGCAGGGCGGATTACGACATTCAGGTACATACGAAGATGGTCTATTGCAATTACTTTATGTAAATACCTTTCTGCATCTCTAAATTCAAATATCCAAAAGTGCCTAGAGTTTAAAGTATATTTACTAGGAATAAAAGAATATTTGTCAATTAATAAACAATAAGTTTGATGAAATCCGGATAAGAAATGAGAAAGTTGGTAATGCGCACAACAAACATTCAATATTTCCATCAAATTTAGAATTGAATTATACACATACATACCAAGTTTGGTGAAATTCGGATAATAAATAAGAAAGTTGGTAATGCGCATGCGCACAACAAAAATTCAACATTTCCATCAAATTTAGAATTGGATTATACACATACATACCAAGTTTGGTGAAAATCGGATAATAAATAAGAAAGTTGGCAATGCGCATGCGCAGTACGCAAAGTCGATAATTCCATCAATTTATAATTGGATTATACACATACATACCAAGTTTGAAGAAATTCGGATAAGAAATAAGAAAGTTGGTAATGCGCATGCGCACTATGCAAAATCGATTATTCCATCAAATTTAGAATTTGATTATACCCATACATTTCAAGTTTTATGAAAATCGGATAATAAATAAGAAAGTTGGTAAATTAAGTGGGGGTATACCTTTAATGTGCTTCTGTAAGCTCAACCTACCTTATTACAGCGTTCAATATACCCTAGAGCTTATTTATATACACCATAACTGCACATAATACATATTAAGCAAATATATAAGGGAAGGTTTCTTTAAAATGAACATAGACTTTTTGATTGCAGGGCGTTCGTAAGCGAACATAAAAGTACACATTCAAATTTTTTTGATCACTTCCGGTTTCGATGATAGTACTTCCGGTGGTATCACTTCCGGTGGAATTGAGTTATGTCAAAAATAACATATGCATTATATTACCAGTCTTAATACAAACTTATTAAACTAAAAAAATCCGCACCGGAAGTAACATGTTGGCCGCCATTTTGGTTTGCCTCATTTTGCAGAAATTGCTATTCAGAGGCCATTTTTCATCCGATTTGCGTAACTTTTGTGTCAAACGAAACGTTTAATGTCTGTCTACAATCCTTTGGCAGCATAATTTTGATTTTCGGTTTTGCCTTTTTTGTACGACCGGATGTTTTTTTTCAAAGTTTGAACGCGTATATCTCATGACCTTGACCTTTGATGACCTTCATATTTACTATTATGATAATTTGTGACCTTGTCTATCTGATGACCTTTTGACCTTTGGGGTCAGACAACTCTTTCCGATTTTACAGGGGTCTAAAAATGGACCATTTTGAGTCTTTGCAGTGCTATATCTCGGTCCCTAATAGAGATATGGCGATAATTCTTTCGATTTTGTAATGTAGAGATTCTGAGCTTTCCAGTGATATAAAACATGCATGCCTTACATGCAAATTCAAAACCCCATTCACTTAACATGGGACTATTATTAGATAAATCGGCTAATTAGATTAACCTGGCTGTCAACCCCAATATAAATCAAAGTTTAAGTAGTTTTAAAGACACCCTCCCTTTTATATTTCTGTAAAATGTTTTGTGTCCAGTTAAGCTATATAAATAGGTTCTAGGATGGATTGAACCGTGTTATACTGTAAGTTAAGCTTATGGAAGCACATTAAAGGCATACCCCCACTTAATTTTCCAACTTTCTTATTTTTTATCCAAATTTCACCGAACTTGGTATGTATGTGTATAATCCAATTCTAAATTTGATGGAAATATTAATTTTTATTGTGCACATGCGCATTACCAACTTTCTTATTTCTTATCCGAATTTCATGAAACTTGGTCTTTATTAATTGACAAACATTCTTTTATTCCTAGTCAATACACATTAAACTCTAGGCACTTTTGGATATTTACCAACTTTCTTATTTTTTGTCCGAATTTCATCAAAATTGGTACGTATGTTTATAATCCAATTCAAAATTTGATGGAAATATTGAATTTTTGTTGTGCGCATTACCAACTTTCTTATTTCTTATCCGAATTTCATGAAACTTGGTCTTTATTAATTGACAAACATTCTTTTATTCCTAGTAAATACACATTAAACTCTAGGCACTTTTGGATATTTGAATTTAGAGATGCAGAAAAGTATTTACATCAATGTAATTGCAATAGACTATCTTCGTATGTACCTGAATGTCGTAATCCGCCCTGCATCAGTACTGTTATTAGAACAGTTCTAGTTTTAATTAGTTCTAACAAGTGTCAACAGGTTGTTTACAGGGATTGTACAATAATAGCCCCATGTTAAGTGAATGGGATTTTGAATTTGCATGTAAGGTATGCATGTTATATATCTATGGAAAGCTCTCGATGCGTAGATTACGTTTCTGTAAAAATTATGGTTTTAACATTAATAGAATGGTTGCTAGAGCTCTTTAAAAGAAAATTTTGCTATTTTCAAACGCCCATAACTTCGGAAGCTATAGTCGGAAACAAAAAATGAAAATACCATCGGATAGGTACTGTCGAGGACATTAAGCCATATAAAACTCAAGGTCAAAAGACTTCAAGGTCACGAGATAAAAAGCCTTATATTAATGAACAAATTTGAAAATTTTCATTAAAGAATGACAAGAAAGCAAAATCAAAATTCAAAATTCGTCTTTGCCAAAATTGTTGCCAAAAGTCTATGGTTTCTATTGACACCAAAAATATGCAAATCGGATAACAAATGAGGGAGAAATATCGAATTTAAGAAATGTTACGCTAATCAAAATGGCGGCTGGATTGACGCTTCCGGTCAAATTTTTTTCGCTCATTTTAATTTGAATAACATTCCTAATGATATGCATATATGATTTTAGGTGTAGCTGTGAAAAGTAAAAAGTTGCAAAACTGACTTTGGAGGCAATTTTTGCAAAAACTGGATATGATGCAAAACTTCTGAAAACACATTTGAGTTTATCAACATGACAATATTTTCCCATATAAATTTCAGATCGATTGACTTCATAGCAAACGTTTTAGTACAGTGCTAGAGAGGCTCTGCTATTATAACTTGCAAACAATACAGCAAATTTGCATAATTTAAAGTGCCATAGTATGACGTTACGTTTATGCAATACAATGCAGAAAATCCTTTGAAAAGCGAGCCGTAAATAAGCATACCAGTGCTTTCCGTAGTTAGTCATGGTGGCCCACCACTATGCATGTCCGCTTTTTCAAAATTCTGCCGTTTTATATGTAAAATCTAACGACCGCGGAGTATAGATACGACATATCCATACCATGTACAGTTTTGTCTGTGAGCTCTGTCAAGAATTTGAAAAAAAAAAAAAAAAAAAAGAAAGAATATTTTTCGATTAACGAAAATGCAATTAAAGCATGTAAATAAATCCTCTGTGAACCTGTACATTAAAGCCTGATTTTTACCCTGCAGCAAATATACAATAACTGACATCTTAATAGCTTGATTTTTATACATCTTCATTACAGAATTCAGCTAAAGGCAGGATGTTACAGGGCTTTTCTAAAAAATATCTTGAGCTGTAGTTTTGACTTTTCACTTATAAGTATCCCTACAAGTTGTTAAAAGGAATTGTAAAGATATTTTAATTTTTTATGTTTATCGGGGACACTAATAGGTTCAACTTGCACCATTCCAATTTTCTATCAGACATCTGTGGTTCCTGCAATTCCACTAAAACTAAAGGCAATATATGATGAAGCATTTTTAGCAATTAGTGACATCATCAAACACTAAGTTTTAGTGGAATTGCAGGAACCACAGACGTCTGATTGAAAATTAGAATGGTACAAATTGATGCTATCAGTGTCTTCGATACACAAAACAATTTTACTTAACCTCTTTACAATCCCTTTAATATTTTGTAGTAACTTTCAATAAAGTGACTTATTTACACTAGTAACGGTACTTGTTCTCGGACTATATAAAATATTCTGAATGAAGGGACATCAGTACAACGGGTTCACTAGACCAAAAATCTAGCCCAATTTCTCACACTAATAAATTGCAGTCTTAAAACACAAACAAAAGATTTATTCCTTTCTTCAATTCCTACTTATAACTTAAGTTACGAAATTGTGTAATTGTTAGCTTATATTTGACATACATACAGATAAAAGTCTAGAATTTAGGCCTATTTGAAGGTATATTACCTCTTAGGATGACCAAAAAATTGAAATTTTTAAACTTGGCCGAATTGAGTCTTTGTTCATCAGTAGACTTACCTGGTGTCATAACTATACATCAGAATCTCTCTATAATCTAATAAATCTATAAAACTAAGTAATAATTCATTAAACTAAGTAATTTTGAAACACACATAGAAGAGTTTTTCAATAATTATTTAGTTTAATAGATATATCATCTTATATAGAGATTCTATTCTTTAGTCATGGTACCTGGTAAGTCCAACTGATAAATATATACACTTATTGACCAAGTTTGAGATTTAAATTTTATGTCCATTCTAAGAGTTAGTATACCTTTAAGATTACAATTCAGCAATAGGCACTGCTACAGTGATAACAGTCATATACCTATACCATAAATCTGACATATTTACAGTTTTCTTGAAATACAGTGCATTTAACATTCATTAGTATCCCCACCCCCCACACAAAGCACCCCCACACCCTTCTTTCACCCTACCTTTTTCAAAGTTCTCAACCTATTACAAGAAAGTGTGGGTTTTTCATCCAAATATCTACAAAGATTAACACCTGAATTAATAACGGCATTTCATAAAGGAGGCCATATTGGGATCGCACTATTCAAATTTCAAAACATTTAAGCTAATTGTAGCCCGGATAAAAGAGAAAAACCCGACAAAATACCAAATTATTTACCTTATAATTCTTTTACTTCCGTAAAGTTTGATGTAAATTCCTCAAACACATGACGATAGTGTCAAAATTTCTACATTTTTGGTTGAAATAGGCGACTTGTACTCATCAATAACGGTTAGCTATTAATACACCTGAACAGGTAAACTAGGTCAAATTCTTGTCATACGTCATTTTGTCACCTCGCTTATTTTATCCCGGATATGAAATTTAGCTTCCCTTTGTCACATGGCGTTTCGTTCAATTTAATGGGAAAATATTGTTCAATCTTGAACAAATTTGAGAACTCTTCCAAAAATGAAATTGATGTTTAATCCGTCTGAACTCAATATGTTCCATAAGTTCAGTGGATCAAAATTTCACCGGATTTTTTTATATGGATCAAAAGAAACCTGTACACCGGTTATAAGGAAATAACTGTCACACGGTATTATGTGGGTAGATAGGTATAAGAGATGACTAATAAAATTATAACGTAATATCTGGTGTAGACGATATACCCCACTGCCCCATGTAGTAAGCACTTTAATTAAATTGTTAAAGGGGCATTCTTTTGCCCAAATTTATGATGACTATACACCAAAATCTAGAGAAATGTGCCCTTTAACGTATCTGAAGGTTTTAACTAAATAAATCCAACCCTTTAACGCCAAAACTATTTGAAACGTCTACGTGAACTTTTAAAGTTTGTTATGCTTTTTAATAGGTGTTGGAGTAAAATAAACACCTAATGGTAGAGAAATATGTCTCCTACGTTTTCTAAAGATTTCATCTAATAATATCGAGCCATTATAAAGCCAAACACCAAAACTAGGTCAAACTGCTTAATTAACAATTAGTAGGCCTACTCTCAGTTTTTAATTAACCCTTTTAAAACAAATTCAGTTTGATCAATTAGATAGTACATAGATATAAATAGCATATTTTAGAAATTTTTTCAGGTGTAATTTACCACGTTTTTTGATAATGAAATTTTGCCCCTTAATTTAAACTCACAATTTGGAAAAAGTAACATTGCCCTTCACTTGCAGCTCTTGATATGAAAAAGATAAGGGGCACCACACACCAACCGTAATATGATGCATAGACATAGAATAATCTTATCTACCCTGGGTTTATTGACACTCCCGATTGTAATAATCATACAACGCTTGTTGAATCTCATGCATTTAAATAGATTGTTAAGAGGTTTTCTAACTTTCTATGTGTATCATGGACACTAATAGCATCAATTTGCACCATTTGCGCCAGTCGAGGTACCGATTGGGGAGAACCATCTCAGACGCCTCATTTGAGGATTGCGTCCATGGTGCTTCCACAGAGTTGCCGCAGCCTTGATAGTTGTCCCCATTTTAACCGCGTGTCCACTGAGAATTGTAAAGAAAAGCTGGCTCTAACGCGCTGTGTGCTGTGTGCTGTCAGTCTTACCCCTATTTGTATCACCAGTCTCGGAAGACTGGCCCCGCATCTGGATCTAGCCATTTGGTTGAGAAGTATACTCGATTGTGAGGGATCAGCAAGACCCCCGACCTCAAGGAGAGACACCTATCATTTTTGTCCCCCCCCTCCCTCCTAAGCTCTCTAAATGCTCAAAATTGATCTCGGGCAATCTGAAATCCGATGGCTTCTGGGGGATCTCTCACAGCTCCGAGATCCCAGGGGCTTTGGAGAGACCTATCTTTTTTGATCCCCTCCTCGGGCATTTCCTAAATACGCCCCTGTCCAGGACAACTGGAACACGAACCAGATATATTAAATATTGACTGAAGGATTAGTTTTATGTATTACATATATTTTTACAAAATCTTGTCCCATTTTTTTCATTATTCAAATCGCCTTCGATATTGGCAAAAAAAAGAATCAGTTTAGCCTATTTGTTTCCTCCATTGGCCACTCTATAGGTTTTCTGCTTAATGCAATAATTCCAACAGTTTTTTTTTCTTCTTTAATTTTGGATTGTAAAGTATATCGTGCACATGCAGGAATCTTGCCTGTCAAGATCTTCACGAATTGACATAAATGGTGACTAATGGGAGACAATCCAAATTAGTGACAAATCTAGCTCAGACTACAGTTAATTCTTATAAGTAGAAATTTAAAATTTATGCTGTTGTTTGCGGCAATACAAGTTCCTAGACATAACACTGAGTAATTTTTTTATGATTTTTCCCCTTCTTAGACCAATTCTCTGTTCTTCTGGCACCACTTCACATACAAAACTCAAGGATTAAATACCGCATACAATTTGTATCTTCTGAGGTCGTTCGGATGGGACAATAAACCGAGGCCCCGAAAGCTACAGCCTGTGCAAGTTTGAGATCCCTCGACAGTTGAAAATCGAAGAGTAGACCAGTGCCGCTGTCCTGGTTAAATTTCCCTGAATGCACCCTGCATGACGTTGCCCATCTTCATAAGGTGCAGAAGAGTAGGACGTAAAACTCCATTCATTTCATTTCATTTAAAAAATTCAACAACGTTTATTACCTCACTCATACAGTAACGTAATAATATTATCATTTACAAACAGTCTAATTAAGCTTAGACCCAACTTTCGTTTCGTTTTTTTTTATTAATTTTTATTTTTAGTGTAGCCACTTCAGAGTAGGATCTAACGGCCGGACTCCTTAACATTCGCCAAAATGACCTTTTGACCTTATCTAATGACATCTATATCATATCTTAATCTTAATCATATCATTATGTTCTTATTGCATATAATTAAGTTTTAAAATATCATAAAATGTCCATGTATGTACTGTACAGCCTGGATAAACAGAAAAACACATTTTGACCTTTCTTAATCGGTCACTCATTGGGATTCTGCTGGTAATTCTCTTCTAATTTAGCTATTAATTAATTATGGACATGTGAGACAAACTGGTATTTAGTCATTAGAACACCTCTACTCTCTATTCATATAAGTATGAGCATTTTCATTTTCATAAATGAAAATAAGGGAACCCATCTTTAAGGACACTGATAGCATCAATTTGCACTATTCCCATTTTCAGTCGGTTGTTCCATGTTTATACAAAATCTAATGGAAGAATTGGTGTTCACATCATGTTTGGACCTGTATCTTGCTTCTTCTAAATTCCACTGCATTGATCTTTTCAAACCGCACACCTCAACGGACATCGTACCTCGTCTGTCCGCTTCTATACTCTGTGATGTAAGTTTAAAGAGGACACAGCATGTTTGATCCCACAAATCTAAACAATTATAAACCCTAACTAACTCTTTTTGAATGTCCGGTGAGAAAGAGTATTTAATTCTACGATTCAGGGCTTCTATAAACCTCGTCTCGGGTATTGGATATTTGCCTACACTGTCTACAGTGTCTGATTCCACGATTTAAAACTCCTTCAGACCTAGGTGACGCTCGATTGGAGAGATCTGAACAGGTTCTGTCTGTTCTAATTAGGCCCACAATCGAATGGTATAGAAGCGGAATATATCACGTTCAAAATTTTTCTATCTATTTCCTTCTCCGCCATTTTGAATTCTGCCTACACTTACTATTTTCTTTTGGCACATGTGGAACGTGTTCCAACTTGTTTTATTGAATTGAACCTTCTATTGATTCCATATCTATAGATCCCGAACAGTGACGAACTCACCAATCGAGCGGGTCCATGGTCTACCTAGACAGTATCTGAAATGATTGGATGATTGTCGAAGCACACATACCCAGATGCTAACACGGCACGTTATTCGGGATTCCTCCCAGCTTTTTCTTGGTAAGGTGGAGGTGCGCTTAAGGAATCTTGGGAAGAATAGGCGGGTGGGGAACATTTATACGGGGGTGGCGACACTGGAACGTAACATATATCCTGGACCCGGGATGAATTATCTGTAAATAGAAATGCGTTTAAAGATAACTACATGTTTAAACCACCTCTTAGGATGACCAAAAAATAAAATTTTTTATACTTGTTCAAAATGAGTCTTTGTTCATCACTGGACTTACCTGGTGTCATAACTATACAACAGAATCTCTCTATAATCTAATAAATCTATAAAACTAAGTAATAATTCATTAAACTAAGTAATTTTGAAACATGCTTAGAAGTGTATTTCAATAATTATTTAGTTTAATAGATATATCGTCTTATATAGAGATTCTATTCTTTAGTCATGGTACCTGGTAAGTCCAACTGATTTATATATACTCTTATTGACCAAGTTTGAGATTTAAAATTTTATGTCCATTCTAAGAGGTACAGTGCAGCATTTTTGGGGGGTTGATTTTAGTCATGAATGTAAATAGTACTATAAAAAGTGCTAGAATGTATGAAAATTCGGTTAAGAATACTTCCAACTAGGAATTTTACTTTTCTATATATATCAGAGTCTCAAGAAAAGACGAGGCGTCATTTTAACATTAAACTAAATATTTTTGAAACATGTTTAGAAACGTGTTTCAATTATTATTTAGTTTAATGGATATATCGTGTTATATAGAGATTCTATTCTTTAGTCATGGTACCTGGTAAGTCTAACTGATGAATATAATACTCTTATTGACCAAGTTTGAGATTTAAAATTTATGTCCATTCTAAGAGGTAGTATTCCTTTAATGAAAAAATAATAGTCGAAAGGGGACGTGTATCTGTATATTATTATGTACTATAAATTTTTTTTTATATAAAACAATTAATTACAAAATTATAGTCGTGTAGGATAGCCTGAGAAATTCAAACATCTGTATTGATTTTATGAAATTTTATTATATTTTTGTCTGTAGTGTTATTCTTGACGTTGCATTGTCATTGTAGATGTAAATAGAAGTTTTTATTTGTACTGTGTTGTGTCAATAGAAGATATATTTTGTACTGTGTTGTGTCAAAAGAAGATATATTTTGTACTGTGTTGTGTCAATAGAAGATATATTTTGTACTGTGTTGTGTCTATAGAAGATATATTTTGTACTGTGTTGTGTAAATAGAAGATATATTTTGTACTGTGTTGTGTAAATAGAAGATATATTTTGTACTGTGTTGTGTCAATAGAAGATATATTTTGTACTGGGTTGTGTCAATAGAAGATATATTTTGTACTGTGTTGTGTCAATAGAAGATATATTTTGTACTGTGTTGTGTCAATAGAAGATATATTTTGTACTGTGTTGTGTCAATAGAAGATATATTTTGTACTGTGTTGTTTCAATAGAAGATATATTTTGTACTGTGTTATGTCAATAGAAGATATATTTTGTACTGTGTTGTGTCAATAGAAGATATATTTTGTACTGTGTTGTGTCTATAGAAGATATATTTTGTACTGTGTTTCGTAAATAGAAGATATATTTTGTACTGTGTTGTGTAAATAGAAGATTTATTTTGTACTGTGTTGTGTAAATAGAAGATATATTTTGTACTGTGTTGTGTCAATAGAAGATATATTTTGTACTGTGTTGTGTCAATAGAAGATATATTTTGTTCTGTGTTGTGTCAATAGAAGATATATTTTGTACTGTGTTGTATTAATAGAAGATATATTTTGTACTGTGTTGTGTAAATAGAAGATATATTTTGTACTGTGTTGTGTCTATAGAAGATATATTTTGTACTGTGTTGTGTCAATAGAAGATATATTTTGTACTGTGTTGTGTCAATAGAAGATATATTTTGTACTGTGTTGTGTCAATAGAAGATATATTTTGTACTGTGTTGTGTCAATAGAAGATATATTTTGTACTGTGTTGTATTAATAGAAGATATATTTTGTACTGTGTTGTGTAAATAGAAGATATATTTTGTACTGTGTTGTGTAAATAGAAGATATATTTTGTACTGTGTTGTGTCAATAGAAGATATATTTTGTACTGTGTTGTGTCAATAGAAGATATATTTTGTACTGTGTTGTGTCAATAGAAGATATATTTTGTACTGTGTTGTGTCTATAGAAGATATATTTTGTACTGTGTTGAGTAAATAGAGA